GCCGCGCCGACCATCGCCCGCCTTCCTCCGACAGCGACGACATGATGGCTCATCGACGTGCACCTGTCCATCGCGGCGGCCGCGGCAATATCCGTATTGGAAGCGGAATCGGTAGAGGGAATAAGAATATTTCGGGTGGTAATGGGTATCGCGATAGATCTGATTTCGGCCCGTCGAGACAGCGCTCGATGTCGCCGAATCCTCGTTCCATGCGCGGGAGAGGTGGGAAGGATAGTTGGCAGGGTGGCGGTGGTGGACGGGGGAAGTCGTCCGGTGGTGGTGGTAGTCGGCCGCCGTCGAGAGGTGGGAATCCCGGTCGTGGAGGAGGCCGTGGAGGGAAGAGAGGTGGGGGTGGTGGGGATGCGTACCGACCGTTGCCGAGTGCGGCGAAAAAGGCGTGGGATAAGTATCGGTTGTGATGGAGTGGGTTCTTATCGTTATGAACAGGTTCGTTGACGCTGGCGTTTCCTGTGTGTGTATATATACCCCGAGGGTGGAACGATTGATGTTGCATGTTTCAAAAGTTGTGTGAGTTAGATCGTAGCTCATAGCTTAGAGCTCATTATATGTACAGATGAGATGATATAGACATCCAACGTGATTGTGTACAGGATGACAGAAGTAGTCTATACGCCATTCTCCACGGCATTATCCGTAGAAGTAGGGGTCTTCTCACCCCCGCGATTTCCCACGAACCCTTCATCTAGAATGCGAATCAACTCATCTAGTCTCTCGATACAGAGATCCGTATGCGCATGGTCCTTCAGATGGCCGTTATGGTCGTTGAGTAGGAGCACGGTCGCCGCGCCGGCGGTATGTCCTGCTGTCATGTCGTCGAGAGAATCTCCGACCTACACCGACCACGTCAAACAAACAAATCAGATATACAACAGAGTAATAAGAACAGAAAAAGAAATCATACCATAATCAAACCCCCCGCCATCCCCTCCTCATCCTGCACCCCCCACTCCTTGGCAATATGCAATATCCCTGCTGGATCCGGCTTGGGCAACAAGCCCGGTGTTTCCCGTGTCACAATGGGGAGGAAGACATGTGCAGGGAGATGGTTGTTGAGGAGGTTGAGGACGGGTGCTCTACACCACATCCTTATTAGTATCATATGGTCCTTTATTGCATATCACAAACAATCTCTAGGGAGGGAGGTATACTCGAAATTCCTCGTACACAAAGCCCTCTTCACCTCCCTCTCCTCTAAGAAATCCATCAATTCGACCAAGCCCGGTTGAGGCTGCTGGGATTCCATGGCGGTGCGCTCAATGGCTTTGATTTTGTTTGTGGCTTCGAGACGCGATTCGGCGGTTGGGAGCCGGCTGATGTGGTGTAGGATGTCGACTTTGGGGGCGATGTTGAGGGCTTGTCTAGATTATTTGTTTGTTGGTATGGGTTGGATTGTAGTGTAGTGTAGGGTGGGGGTGGGGAATTGGGAAGTACCGCATTTCGGAGAACATGTGGTTTTGGGGGAGGCTGTATATATTTATATTATATTTGGTCAGCGGTGGAATTGGTAGCTAGAGAAGGTATAGGTATAGGTATACCATAGTGTGCCATCGACGTCAAAGACGATTCCGCGGAGTGGGGGTGCGGAGGAGGAAGAAGCAGAAGAGGGGAGGAGAGGAGCAAATCGCCGTTGGCGGAGAGAATAATTGTTTAGGGATGCCATGAGGGAGCGGGAGATGCGTAGGGCTGGATTAGAGATGGACATTGACAGGGTATCAAGGCAAGGAGGGAGGAAGAAAAGAAGCAGAGGAATGTAGAGTGGAGAAGTGACGTTGAAGAAGGAAGTGGTTGATGGGCTGATAAGATGGAGTGGAGACTGGCATGCGGAGTTACTTAAGTTGGGTTTCTTTAATTACTACTAGTTTCGGTTCTATAACTACTTCATGCTACTATAGACTCCATTCCATACAACAATACTTCTGAAACTGCATTATATCTGCACCATTTACATCAGAATAATTTCCACAAGAGATTGTCAGGGTTTAACGGTTGCACCTTCCTCTGCACCATCAACATCTCCTTCCACACTCATATCTCCGAGTCTGACACCTCACAATGATCTATCTCTGCTTCTCCCCTGCAGTCCTCATCCTTTTTTTCACCCTGCATCCAGTATAAATCTTCCTGCCGGCCACCATGTCAGCCAAGAAACACCATCCAGCTTCTCGCGATCCTATCCTCAATGCCATCAATATCCGCACCGTGCTCGCCCTCCTCGGCACTCTCCTCACCATCAAGCTCCTGAACCTGCTGGCACGCCTCACGGGGGTACGACGCAGCTCACCCCGATATCCCTACAGCTACGTCGGTCAAGCCATCAGTCGCAAAGAGCAGCACATCATTCAGATCCTACTTGAAATCATCCCCGAGAGCAGCACCTCGGTGAATACCAGTCTGCCCTCCAACGCAGGCTTCTCCTGCGCAGACGATAGACCCACCACGGCCGACAGCGTCCCCTCCTCCAGTCTGGTCATTCCCCTCATGCCGGTGCCGTCGCGGGTCGTTCAACTGTCTCATAGCGCACCTACCCGGAGCTTGGAGCTCGCTATTGCCGATAGAGACCGGGGGTTTGATGACCATACGAGCACGCGCGCGAGCGTACACTTCCTGGGCCACCAGCCGCTTCCTAGTGACTCGGTCTACTCGTCGATCGTCCGGAGAAGTCTGTCGATTAGTGATCCGAATTCGAACTGTTCGAGTCCGCAGCAGGGTATGCTTCCCGGGGTGCGGTTCTCGGGGTTCATGTCGGACAGGTTGCGGTTCAGTATATTGAGTCGGCCGTGGTCGATGGATAGTGTGTTGGCGGATGAGTCGCAACCTGAACCGGTCACGTTGGATATGGCACAGCTGCAGCAGACGCGCACGGCAGACAGCTATCCAGGACCGTTTCCCATCAGTGACGGCTTGGAGCCGAGCTCGTTAGCCACGGCGCAGTGTGCCAACAATGGGGCCAGCGAGGCCACGGCAGTGCGGACCTCCGTGAGGCCGTTTACCGATGTGTAGCAAGCAGCTTTGGGGGAGGGATAGAAATGCAAGATGTACATTATTCCTCGATGGGGCTATCTGGAGCAGAAGGTGCAGGTGCAGGTGCAGAGGCAGATGCAGAAGCGCCAATAAAGACCATGCAGTATGTACTGTGTAATGCAAGTATGTAATCCAATCCAAATAATCAAACAATCATGCACATTCCTCCTCATGAATCGCATGATCCAAATACCCCATAGCTCGAACAAAGATCTTCGCACTATCCAACACCCGTTTCTTGCAATCCCCAACCGTATCCATCCCCATGAACGCCCCATACGCCCGATCAAACTCCGTATGCCTAAGAGCCTTCCAAATACCATGCACATCATCCGGCGGCAGTGGAATCTATCCCCACAATCAGCACCAGCCCATCAGCAACTCAATCCCTCACCCCAACCCCACAAAAAGACAGAACTGATAAGAATGAAGACATACCATATTCGGATAACTCCACATAAACGTATACGACGCCGTGCCCTCCCTCCTCCCTCTGTCGCCATAATCCCCAACCCCACTAGGAATCGTCCCAATAGTATCCGCCAAAAACATCACCTTTTCATCCTTCCACCATAGCACCGAACTGCCGGGGAAATGACCGCCTGTTTTGACTCCTATCACTCCGCTGCCGGGGAGGACTTCTACCTCTTGACCGTCCCAGAAGATTTGCCTTGCGGTACCACTGCCACCATTACCTTTATCCTTACTGCCTTCGGCAATATTAGTATTACCAGAGGAAGAAGGGGCTGTGTCAACCCGCATAACCCACTCCCTATCCTCACTGGATAAATACACCGGACAGTTAAACGCCTCCGCCCAGACTAGATGCGTGGCGTAGTAGTGCGGATGGGAGATGATGATTGCGGAGATACCGCCTAGCGCGTTGATGTTGGTGATGGTGTCGGTGTCGAGGTAGGGGATGCAGTCCCAGAGGATGTTGCCGTGGGGGGTGAGGAGGAGGAAGGCGCGTTGGCCGATGCAGTGCTTGGGGGTGGTGTGGAGAGTGTAGATCTTGTTGGAGTTGGGGTGGGAGGGTAGCGGGGAGAGGATGTTCTTTAGTTGGGGTTCGTGGGTGGGGGCGCGAAGGGCGCGGAGGGTGGTGTAGTCTTGTCTGTTGGTTTTTATTGAGGTGGGTTAGTATGTTGTTTGGTGTTTTGTGGGTGGTGGTGGTGGTGGTGAGTATGGATGTGTATAGGGATAGAGTGGGGGTGTAGTATAGTCAAGAATGGGGGGCATAGGGATATACCCAGTTGGAGGGAGATATTGACGCGGATCATCGCAAATGGGACATGGAGTTGGCGGCGTGGGAGTTGAGAACTGGGTGCCGCAGGTGGTGCAGATGGGGAGGTCGAGGGGGTCAACAGTAGTAGTATCACTAGTCATGACGATAATAATATTGTATCTGTATCTGGTTGTAGTTATTTGACAATGTAGAGATACAAAATCGAAACACCCATCAAATGGGAGATATTCACTGCTTAAATGTATGGAAGAACATCAGCTGTTCTCCGCATTGACCCCGCATGTACTGGAGCCATGGATCGCCGAGCTGAACCTCAGCTGAGCTGCTGCTGGTCTGCAGCTGAACTGATAAGCTGCAAACCAGGGCTCGAATTAGGCACAATGATGTCAACACTATCTGAATCTTAGAAAAAAGGCGGAAACTTTTGTATTCCATCCATCGCATGGCATACAGCCCATCCATTATGCACTAATCGAGAAAAATATGCTGCAAGAAGGGAATCATATAGCACAAAAATGCAAAAATCGGTACAAAAGTAGCAGTACTAGTCGACACATCCCCCCTTTCCGCCCATACAACCATCCATTTCATGCACGCTTGCTATCGCTGCGCGGGTCATAAGTCGTGAACATAACAAATCGTATAACAGGTTGAATTCGAAGAAAAGATGACGAGAGGAGAAAAAAAAAATATTGGGTATCAAACGTCTGTCGCGTCAATAGTCATGGTCGGCATCCACCTGCTCCGGACTGGCGCGATACTGGCTTCGCTGCCGCCGCGCAGGGCTGAACTGGCTGCCCGACGTCAGGGGACGAGGCCCCGTGGGTTTCCGGGGAGGCGGTGTGCTACGGGGAGAGCGCATGATCGAACTCTACAGAGATATGGTCAGCATCATGCGAATAAATCGTCCCTTCCGGGTATGGTCACTAACCCGCGAAGCAACTCGTTCCATGTACGATCGCTCATCGTCTTCCTTGACTTTGGGCGGCCGCTCCGGGATCAGTGGTCCCTCATCCTTGATCTTAGGCGGACGAGGAGGCCCTGTGTGCCGCGAGCTCGCTTCCGAGTAGCCCGCGTCCGAGATGGGCGAAAGACGACTGGCGCCGCTGTAGCGCGGGTTGGCGTTCACGCCAGACAAGCTGGGGTTGGATCCCCACTGGTCCGAAGGTGCACCCGCTGGCACGCCGTAGACCTGCGCTTGCGTTTCTAGCTGGTTTTGGTATCGCCCAGACGGGCCCTGGCGAGGCTGGGGATGGTGAAGATCGAGACTGCCCCGGTGAGCCCGGTACTTTGGCGCCTCCGACGCTTGTCCCGATGCTTGAGACGGAACCAGAGGGGATGGCGGCCGGTTCTCTTGTTGCGGGTCCTCCAGAGTGTACGTCGAGCGCAATCGGTCTTCGCCTTGGGGATCATAGTAGTCCGGCTTGTATGGCCCTGGTGCAGCTTCGGATCCAGAGCGCGAGGTATCGAAGGACGCTCTCTCCTTGCTGCGGCCAGGTTGAATGCTGTTGCGGATGTTGTCTCCCATCGAAGACGCCGTGGTCTTGGACCAACGGGAGATCTTGGGGAAGAATGAAGAGCTGCTCGATTTGTGCTTCTTGGCCTTCTCCGTCGTCTTCGGCGTCGCCTCGTTACTGAGGGCACCCGAAGCCATAGGCTCACGAGGAGGTGTTGACACAGGTGCGGAGCCAGCCCGGCCCTGGCGGTTGTTGGCCGGCTCCTGCGAAGGCATGGTTGGACTCGGGAACTCTTGCTCATCTATGTCTTCATCCAGTTCCGGCACCGTACTGACGCGGTTTTCCATGCCCCTCCGCAGTCCATTCCCAACGAGTGGTTCCAGAACAGGCTGGGAAGAGGTGGAAAGGTACTCCGACTGGTTTCCGGGCGATGAAGTCCCAGCATGGCCCTCCGGCTCATAGCCCTCTGGATCCACACTGGCGGCCCGGTTGCCTCCCCGCATGTACCGGTCATCTTGGCCGTAGCGTAGAGCTTCGACTTCATCAAGGAGCTGTTCCAACATATCCTCGATTCGGGTAAGATCGTTGGAGTTCTTGAGGCTCAGGCCTTTGAGTGCTCGCTTGAAGATATTCTTCCGCTTCGAGCGCATGTCATCCCCGTCGTCAATAGGCACCTGGCGAGCACTACGCGTGCTAGCCGGCTGAGGGCGTGGCCCACCCAGAGCTCGATAGGTCCGCTCGTGCTGTCGGTCACTAGCTTCCATGAGCATTCCATCCTGTAGAGCAATGAACTTCTTCATCTCCTCAAATGAGTTGCGCATTTCCGCGGCGCTTCGAACAAGAGTCACGAGAATCTCCGTATCCCTGGCATTCCGTTGGGCATCGCGAACCGTGAGCTGTTCAAATAAGTCAGCAGTGATACCTTCAAGCAAGATGATATGTTTACTAACATGGTCCATGAGTGCAACAATGTCCTTGGACTGAATTCGATCAATTCCTTTCCCAGTTGCACTGTCATACAGAGGTGAGCCGACTCCTTGAGAGTAGCCACTCAACTGCCGCTGGTGACCAGGCATAAAGTGGTCTTCCCCACCAAGAGGACTGTCAAACAGACCCATTCCATTTGTGTCGATTCCAGCAATACCCTTACTGAGTGGCTCAGGGGTCTCAACACTCGGGGAGCGAGGGTTCGCGGCCGAGACATACCCTTCGTCTTTGGCACCAAGCGGTGTGCCGAGCATCTGGCCTCCGTGGTACTGCTGATCATAGTAGTCGTTCGCACCGTAGTCATCCTCCGGGTAATAGTCCTGGCCATAGTGGGAGGGCTCAACTGACCCCAAGCCCAGGCCAGCACCCGCACCAGCTCCAGTCTTGTCAAAGAGGGGCGACGGAGCGTCTTTGGAAGGGGTGCGGTTGAACGACCAGCTGTTTTCGTGGGCCGCGGGACCTTGAATGATGGAAGGATTGGTATTGATTTCCGATTCTGAATCAGGGCTCCGGTCGTCTTCGTGCGGCATTGGGCTGCTGTCGAGGTCGCCAGCGAACAAAGGAGCCGGCTCGTTCTGGTAGTGGTCGTCCAGCGACTGGGTGACACTCTGGGGCGGCGACGTAGCACCCATGCGTCTAGGGAACGAGGTCGCGTCGGGGCTGGAAACCTCCTCGCGCTGCTTCAGGGGGCTACCTCGGTGAGATTCGTGCTCTGCCGGCTCATGCTGCTCATGCTGCTCCAGGGGCTCCGGCTCCCAGTCCTCCTCCTCTTGCTCCGGAATACCAGCCATGGAGCGGTTCGCTCCAGACTGGCTAGACTTGGTGTCCAGGATCGTGGGTTCGAGGACAGAGGCCACCGCTGATTCAACAGCCATCGGATGTACGAATCGGGGATTGGCAGCAAGGCCTTCAGCTACCGGTCGGCCCTGATCTTCCTGGTCGTGGTGATCAAGCTCGCTGTCATCGGTGTACCCGGTCATGCGTTTACCGACGGTGCTCTGCGTCTCAGTTTCTGCTAGCGAATGCTGGTCTTCGTCATCGTCGGAATATTCCTCCCAGTGTCTTTCCTCTCTGGGGGATGGTCGGGGGGTCTCCTCGTAGCCGAGCTCGGGGCCAGGTTCCTGTCGACGGCGTAGGGACTCCGTCTGGCTCGTGATGCTGAGGCCTTCTGGACGGGTAGATCTTGCAAAATCCGTACTGGGCGCAGACGAAAGAGAGTCAATCGAGAGACGCGGCTCCAATTCTCGTTCATCTTCGGAGTAATCGTACCTATCATAATGGGTCAAGTCCCGCTTGACCGGAGATTGGCTCTCATTGCTGGCCACGCTCTGTATCGGACTAAGAGTGCGCCGACGGCTCGCCAGATCACTGTAGTCGAGGTCATGATTCTCGGAGTGGGAGTCGAGCAAATTAGCGGCAGCGGCAGCGGCGATAGCGCCTGCGGCGGCATCCCCGACGGGCGACCGACTCGAGGGGCTATGCATCGACAAGTCATGGCTGGACAAGTTGCTGTGCTTGAGCTTCAGCTCATGCCGCACGTCCAGAGGCGTTCTATTTGGCGTGCGAGGTGCTGGTGACAGGGGTGCTGGCGAGAGAGACTGGAAAGGGGAGCCGCGGAAGCCTTCATGGAATTTGGTGTCTCCGTACGGTGCTGCTGGTTCGGCGGTCTGCTCGGAGAGAAGGGAAGCTCTGGTGAGGTCGGATTCAATCGCACTGCGCAGTGGCATGGGGGCGACATTGTGTTTCTGGAAGACTAGTTCGGTCTCGTTAATACTGCCGGTGCGGCTTCGGGCCCCACTGCTTTTTCTTCTTCCCTCGCTTTTTCCGAGGCTGGACCGTGAGTCGTGATGCTGGAGGGCTGCAGCGGTTAGAGCCGTCCCCACGAGTGCAGCCTTTTCTGCATCACGAAGTCCTTTGCTCTTTTGTCGACGGAGCTTTTCTTGCTCCGTCAACTCGGGGCGGTTGGCCCATCTGATGTAACCGAGATCCTGGCTTTTTTCGCTTCTGCCATGACTTCGTTCGCTGTCCTTGCTGGATCTCCGTTCTTTTTGGGATGGGACGGAGTCGCCCGAAAGGACGATGCCTTCATCGCGACTATCCTTATTCAGGACAACCTTGGGCTTTCGGACGTCAGGAGCGCTTGCGTGTTTGGAAAGTCGTCTGCCCAGCTCGTCCCGAGAGGGCGTGCTGGCTGATGAATGTGAGGTGTTCATGTCGCGTTCAAATTTGGACGTGTTGGTGATGACTTTCTGGTCCTTCTTAAGTTCCTTCAGCTCAGGCAGTATGAGTCTTCGGATCGCGTCTTCCACAGTTTCAAGAAGCTTTGGGTTGTTGATCGATGACTTCGAGGTGCCGGATTTGAACGAGTACTGATCACCGGATCGGCGATGCGAGGACACAGCCGAGGCGCTGAGGAGGCTGGATTCTGGACTCATCATATCGTCGGGAAGAGCCCGACGACGAGGAGACTTCGAATCCATATCTTGGAGATCACTGCCGTCTTCGAACCTACTTCTTTCGGCACGCCGGCGTTGCCTAGAGACGTCACGAGGGTCGTTGCTGAGCTTCTCTGCGACTCGATGAGCAATGCGTTCGGTGCTGAGACTGCGACTACGTTGTCGCCGGGGGGTTTTGAGGTACTCCTTGGATTCACGTTCCAAGCTCTGACTGCGTTTTCGACGAGGACCAGATGAGGGGGCTTCCAGCATGCTATCCGCCGGCATCGACGAGATGTCGGAGGTTGGGTGGAAGTACCTGTCGCGCGACAGGGCGGAGAGCTCACTGCCTTGGTCGCGATTCATGAGCTCGATTTCTAAGGGAGAATGGCCGGGAGGCTGGTTCTCATCGGTGGCTGAATTGGAAGAACTGTCATCCACAGCCGACTCCTCCAGCGACTTGTGCTTGTGGGGCGAGCTCAGGGAGATGCGGCGGGAATAGACGGGTTTCCGATTGCCACTCGACTCGGTGATCTGTATGTGGTCCTTCTGGTCCTTGAGCTTCCGCGCGGAGGAAGGGGTGACACGGACACGGACACTGGGGCGGGAAGTGAGGGAGCCAGAACCCTTCCCGCCCTCGAAATACTCGATGAGCAGGGAGGTCTGGGAGTGCTGCGACGAGCGGGACAGTTTGGAGTCGTCCCCGCGGGAGCGATGTTTCCGACGAGTGGGGATGGTGACGGGGCTCCCGTCGTCTGGAATGGAGTATGAGGTCTTGTCTGTGCGGCGAGATATGTCAGTTGCCAGATCAGTGCCTGTGATGCTGCCGTTGGTATCGACAATAGATTCAGTGGGGGCAGGCAAGATCGGTCTGCGGGTGTCGACGCCCATGATGAAGGAGAAGAAGAGAGCGGAGAATCCTTTCTTTTCAGCCAGACAAGACCATACTCTGTGCTTGGGCGAGTGGGAACAATGATTTTCCTTTTTCTTTTCTTGTCTTGTCTTGTCTTCCCTGATTTCTTTTTTCCCTTTTTGCCTATTTTGGGAAGCTGGCAAAAGTTCAGGGGCAGGAAGTGTGTGTGTGCAGGGGGGTGAAGGAGGGTAGTTGGAAGGATTAAGGCTGGGGATTGGGTCCGACTGCTAACAGACTGAAGTGTCACTACAGATCGGACCGATCGATATGCAGCTCGGATGAGGAGAAAGGAAGCAGGCGGGTAAATTAGATGGGCAGCAAGAGAGGGATTGGAGAGGATTGGGGAGGGGGAAAGGGAAAGGGAAAGGAAGGATGACGATCAGAGCAGGTGGGGACGCAAGAGAAGGGCAGCTGTGAGGGATTGCTGCGATATCACAAAAAGCAAAAGAGAAGAAGCGTACCAGCGCTGGGGAGTGTTGGGAGGGAGATGCAATAACAGCGGAGATTTTAGCAGTAGTAGAGGAGGAAGAAACACCCGAGGCGGTAGTTGCCGGTGGTTCGAATTAACACAACGAGGGAAAAGGTGGGGGGAAGAGAGAAGAGAGTGAGAATGAGAGAGAATGAGAATTAAGGATGAGGATGAGGATGAGGCGAGTGAATGAATTGAGGCAGCACCCTCACTTGCGATAAGCCAACAATCGGTGTGGATAATCAACGGATGGTGGCCATGTACATTCACCGCAAGAGTTCACCCGTGCATTGATTGGGTTGACTGGGTTGAAGGTATGATTGCGAGTTGGTCGGGGCTGGGCTGGGTAATAATGATTCGGATGCAGGGAAAATGCCCAAGATTAAAGAATAGACAAGAGAGAAAAATCTAATCGAAGGGCAGCAGCAGCAGGGAAGAGGGGAAAAGGCCCAAGTGGATGTGCTTGCTTGCTTGATTGACTGATTGATTGATTGATCGATGGGGGTGGGAACGGTGAGGGAGGGGGAAAAAATAGAGAAGGCTGGTAAGGTCGGTCACTAAAGAACTAGTCAAGGAGTATAAGGATGGATGGATGCTGGAGTTGGCGATTTAGTGTCCCCCCCCCAAGTTCAAAGTAACTAAAAGTCAGTGGCCGGCACTGATTAAGAAAAACAGTCACTGAAACTTAAGTAAGGTACGGCCTTGGATGAGTTGGCCACGACCCAAAAAAGATGAGCTTCTTGTCTCTGCCAGCCTCGCGATTATCGCGTTTCCTGGGCTCTTATACTGCTGATGGCCTTCGTTCTGAAGCGGGATTTCCCCCTTCACTTTGGGTGTCATTATCGGTTGGGTTCGATAGAAGTGGACTGCTTTGCTTCCTACGTGTGTGTATCCCCCCCGGGATCCATTCTTCTCCTCCACCAGATGAGATCCACGCATGGTGACCGAGCAAAGCTGCGCTTCGACGCTCTCTCACTCTTCCATCAGATCAGCTTCGAAGATACAAAATACTAATGAGTAGTCGGCTTTGCCGGTTTCTCCCTGTCGCCGAGAGTGATCTTCACGATGCTCGATGATGCTTCCTCAAGCTTGAGGTTGAATCCGATTCCTCATCCACTCGCATCTTTCTTTCCCGACACACCAGGGATGTAAGAAGCGTGAGGCTTGGAGAAATATGATTTTTCTTGTTTCCTAAAATCCATACCAGTTCATGCGCGCACCTCCCACTGGACGAGAGCGGGTTATTGCCTTCGTAGTGCGACCCGAGATGTGATCTGTTTCCTGTCTGTCTGCCACTCCCGATCTTGGGTGGCCCTATTACCGTTGTACAGGTGTGAGAGAGAGCAGCGGTTTTTGCCTCCCGAGACTCATGGTGGTGAAACCTGGAGCGTGATGCTCAGGAATTGGCTGCCATATATACAGCTTGAAACACGAGCCCTGCCAGCACCTAATGTCCAGAGAGTTGTTTGGTTTCGGAATGACTCGTCACATTAGAAGCCACGATCTCCTGTCTTCCGGACTCCGTACCTGGCTGGGAATCGGATAATTCTGAAGACCACTGGCGGAGGAGGGCTACCGGAACAGCATCAGCATCCCGAACGAACATGACTAGTGTAGGTACAGTCGTTGGGTTACTGGGATTAGGAAAGTCCGAATCGAGAAAAAAGTTCATCACCAGTAGATGGATGAATCGTGAGTGGGTGGAGCCCGCGCCCCTCCCTGTGTGTGTGTTCCTTTTCCCCCGACCCGCACACGGAACCAGCAAGAGACAGTCTCTCATCTCTCCCATTGACTGACTGGCTCATGGGCCGCAAAGCAAGAAAGAAGAAGAGGCAGTCAAGGACCAGGACCAGGCGGTCTCCAGGACGACCAACTCCCAGCAATCATTGGCGGTTAAGGCTGCCAGCTCATCAATCCCCTCCGTCCCCTCCGTCAATTCTGACTACAGCCTTCACGGCTGATTGGTAGCCTCTTTTCATCTTTTTTTTTTTTTTTTTCTCCATTGCAACGATCATCCTGCTGGAATAGGACAGGTGACTGTCAGGACCAGGTGTTGCTTACGGCCACTTGCAACGTTGGATGTGCCCGTACTTTTTTTCCCAGTAGTGGATGGGATGGGATGGAAAATTTGGGTTCGACGGCGGATCCCGTCCCGTCCCTTTCCTTTCCTTTCTTTCCCTTTTTTTGTCTTTCCCAGCCACCTTTTTGACCAGCCACCCTCGGATTTAAGTGTAGGTTTGATGAGTAGTTTGCTGGGATAGTCCATGCTCCCCCGGTCAGCGTGGTCTTACTTGCCCTTTCAAGTTTGTGTCTGCCGGGATATGAAATAAAAACCTCAATATCTAATGATGGGATTCGTCTGATCGAAGTACTCGATTGGTCTTGATGTCCAATGCATGGGGTGTGGCGGGGCTGGGCTCATAATGTTTGATCATTAAAAGGTGAGTTTTATCAACAGGCAGCCATACTAAGTCAACCTTCAAAAGAAGGAATATTCACTTCGAGCCTATGATAATTCTTAAAACAATTCCTGCGGTGGGTTATATTTATTTCTTGTCGGAGGGACTTGCCAATTTTTTCTTCTTTCTGTTGTGCAGATTCGCCAGATATAGAACAGACCACTCTAAAGTACTTTACTAAACATGTGGAAGATGCGTAAAGTTTCCACATTTGCAGCAACAACAGTAGATAAGATTCACTAATCATCACAATCCAGTCCCCTCTGTATCTATTCATAGCCCAGCCTACCAGATGCTTTATTCCATTCTGTTATCAGGCCTGTACATGAATGACATGCATTGCAGCCATCCATACTAGCCCGTGAGACACTCCAAGCTGCCAAGTACATCAGCAATCCAGCCGAGGGAACTACAATGACCAGTCCTCGACCATAACCTCGGTTTCACAGAAAGTGACTTAGCACGCTTCTTCAGTCACCTGTCTCGCTCTGTGCTTCTGGGTTTATTCCTAGGGAGTACTATTTCCGATCGGAGGAAAACGAAAGGTAACGGGAATACTGGAGTACATCTGACACAACAGATAAAATGCTTCTGAATGATATGATCTATTCAAGAAAACGATTGGAAATAATAATATAGACAAGTCCAGATATCCACAGGGTAAACTCCGAAACTAAAATGCCAGGTCTCAAGAAATCACACAAACCACTTGCTTTTCTCTTTGCTTATTAGTCAGTCAGTTCAGTCATCCTCGTGCTTGCGCTTGAACTTCAGCCCCTTCGGTTGGCTGCCGTAGTTTCGGCGTCCTTGCTGCTGCTGCTTCTTATCCCGACTCAGGCTGGAGCCCAGCTGGATGTCGATGCGCGGCGGCGTCGAGAACCCGAATCCCTTGGCAATCTTGACCAGGTCAAGCTTGTGCACGTCGAAGACGGACCGGAGCGAGTGGGAGGCATACGCCTGGAGGTAGGCTCTGTAACCTTCCTTGGCGGACTAGGCGGGTGGAGTCAGTATGGGATTGATATCGTAGATAGGAGTCGATAAAGTTCTGTGAACGCACCTTGTTCAGATAGTAGTTCTGACCAATCAACTTCTCGAGCTGAGATTGAACGTTGACAATCTTGTTGGCCGGGAAGTCGAATTCCACAACGGGAACACGAGCCTCCTTGAGGTGCTTCAGGAAACCAACCTCGGAAGGCTGCAAGAACATCAAACTGCGTCCCTTTCCGTTGACACCACGAGCCGTACGACCGACACGGTGGACGTAATCCCTGGTGTCATCCGGGGGGTCGAACTGGATAATCCAGTCCACAGCCGGAATCTATGATTGTTAAATTGTGCTCTGGGTGATTTGTTAATGGGCAGGTACTCACATCCAAACCTCTGGCAGCAACGTCAGTGCAGATCAGGGTTCCCTGCTTGGCATTGCAGAACTCGAAGAATGTGTTGGTCCGCTTCTGCTGCTTCTGCTTGCCGTGAAGTTCAAGCACCGGCAGGTCGATGTAGTTGAGCAGCTCAGCATGGTACTTCACACAGTTACAGCTGGAGAAGAAGACAATAATCTTCTTCTTAAGGTTGCGCTTGAGGAAGGAGAAAAGAAGCAGGAAGCGCTTATCAGCCTCACAGATGACATAACCCTGTTCCAGACCCTCGACTGTGCTGTGCTCCTTGCGGTGGTCGACGTTGATGTACAAGGGGCCAGGGCGCAGCGATATGCGCGCCAAATCCTCGACTTTCGTGGTCTGGGTGGCAGAGAACAGCATGGTCTGTCTCTCTTCGGAGGGCAGGATCTTGACAATCTGACGCATTTCGTCCTCGAAACCGACTTCCAGAATACGGTCCGCCTCGTCTGCACAGACGTTAGCGTACATTCGCCTGTTGTGTTCGTAATCAGGCCACACTTACCGATAACGAGAGTCTTCAGGTTCTTGAACACAAAGCCGGGGGTGTTCTGCAGATGATCAAGCAAGCGTCCAGGAGTGGCAATGAGCAAGTTGACACCCTTGGTGAGCTTCTCCGCCTCAGCTCGACGGTTGGCACCTCCAATAACGATACCATATGTTTGCGAGTGGTGCGCCATCAACTCTCTGGCCACACCGAATATTTGCAGCGCCAACTCTCTGGTGGGAGAAACGACAAGAACACCAGTACCTAGAAGTAGAAAATCAGCACATGTTCAGTCGAGCGAACACCTAGTAGAGATGCCAGGAACCCACCATTGCGAGGCTTGAACCGCAGAGCGCTCAACATCTCCACAGCGGGAATCAAAAACGACAAAGTCTTTCCGGAACCCGTCTTCGCAGCACCGAGAACATCACGACCGGCAAGTAGCGGGGGGATAGTACGTTGCTGAATCTCGGTCATAGTCTCGAAGCCCATATCCTGAATACCCTTCATCGTCTTCTCAGAGAGGTTCAATTCCGTAAATTTCTTCGGCTCGCCATCCGTCTGAGGCAGACGCACAGCGTCCAGAGAAGGAAGGTCTGCACCAGTCTCAGCCTCCTCGCCCTCCTCACCATCTTCATCTTCGGGTTCCGCCTGACGGACTTCTTCCTCGCTGTCATTCTCATCCTCGTTGCTGGAGTCGTCAACCTTGCGCTTCTTGGGCTTTTCTTCCTTCTCAGCCTCCTTAGCAGCCTTCTTCTTCGACTTCTTTTCCGTAGGTGTCTCCGTCACTTCGGTCGTCTCTCCATTGTCGACAGCGGGCTTCGGGGAAGCATCGTCGGCTTCGGTCGCACCGCGCGCACCGTGCTTTCTCTTGCGCTTCTTGTTGATAGATTTCGCGGTATCCACAGGGATCGGCATCTTGACTGAGTACCTTCCGTAGACAGGTTCCCTTTGCGAACAAAAAAAATTCGACGTTGGGGTTGAGTCTGGAACGTGAAGCTGGTACGGCCCTTTTTTTTTCTTTCCTCTTTTTTTTTGGTCCGATTCTGCCAAAGTCCGCGTCACGTGTTGATAAGGGGCGATAATTGGTTGTGGCAAGTCCGTGCGGTGGTGCCTGAGGCGGTAACAGACATAGATATGCTACCATACTCCGTATTATACGGTGACGGCTAAATACTGCATCCGGTATAGCGTGCCTGATCGGGGAAAGCGTCTATACAGTATAGATAGTCTCCTCGCCCCGCCTGCCTCTCCTCTTGCTTTCCTATTATTCTTTGACGCCGTGTCAACTCAGACTAACCTAAGCTATTGTTTTCCATTGGGCCAGTCTCTCCGTGTCCTGCACTTCGCCACCCCCTTCCGCATAGTAGGGTCGACTATACTGAGCTTGACCAATGGGACGTCTCGGATTGGGACTCTTCATTGCGGATGCTTGTCCTTGGAAGATATTCATTCCGGGGCCACTGACTGTAGCGCGGGTATAAAACAAAGAGACCAATTTGAGAAGTACAGGTCATCCATCGGACCCATCCATAGGAATGCTTTAGGTCAGCAACAATATACAGTTGTGCTTCTGATGCAAGTCGTCGAGACAAGCCTGATCTGCCGACGTGTTTATGCTGACATCACAGGACAAGACATGCTCATAGCAACGTCCTATCTCGACCAGATCCTCTTCGACAGCATCCATATCACAAGATGACCAGTACTTCGTCTGAAATCGAGATAGCCGCCCAACACCTTGCCAAGGCGAAACGAATCGTCATCCTGACAGGCGCGGGCATCTCCACCGCCGCCGGAATCCCCGACTTCCGCTCCCCCACCAGTGGTCTCTACGAGAAACTGGCACCCCTCAAGCTGCCCTTTCCCGAGGTGATTTTCCATATCAGCTATTTCACCCATACTCCGGAGCCATTCTACGCCATCGCAAAGGCTCGCCATCCCCGCTGCCTCAAACCGACCAGATCCCACGCATTCCTCGGTCTGCTCGCGAAGAAAGGCCTGCTCCATTTCCTGTTTACCCAGAACACCGACGGTCTCGAAGAAGATGCCTTCGTCCCCGCAGACAAGATGCTTGCGGTGCATGGGAACTGGAAGACGCAGCGTTGTCACAAATGCAACACGCCGTACCCGGACGAGCTGATGAAGAAGGCCATCGCCAAGAGAGAAGTACCGTACTGTCTTGAGGCGAGGTGCAAGGGAGCGGTGAAGCCGGATGTGGTCTTCTTCGGCCAGTCGCTTCCCGCTGCATTTGATGAAAAAGAGAAATTGGTAGCCGAGGCGGATCTGGTGATTGTTATGGGCACAAGCTTGAAGGTTGCCCCGTGCTCGCGGCTACCGCGTTTGGCGAGGGAGGGAGTTCCACGGATCCTCATCAACATGGAGAGTGCGGGGGACTTTGGTACACGACCAGAGGATGTTCAAATCCTTGGATCGTGTGATGATGGGTTGGAAAAGTTAGCCGATCTGCTAGGCTGGTCGGATGAACTGGACAGTCTCTGGGCTGCGGCTGCGGCTGCGAAAGAAGAGCCGACCGATGACGAGGAAGAGATCAGCCTAGACGAGTGTATTGATCGATTGGTCCAGGAGAACCAAGGAAAACAGGTGTCCGACGGACATAAGCGCATGCTAGAAACACACTTGCAGTCAAAATTTGCCCATTTGCTTCGGTCGAGTTAGACCAGAACGAATGCAGCAAGATACGCTTATTGACAAGCCAGGGAACATAAATCAATACGTATCTCACCTCTTGTCTCCAATTGCGTTCAAATTGGGAAGCCTCTCCAACATCATCCGAAGCCATACGGTGATATAGGCAATAGGGGGGCAGCACCACGGTCGTTCGTCGATATACATGGTGGAAAAGTGATCAAACGTCCAAGGAGTCGAGCCCTGCAGCATCGGCCATGACCAGAGAAGCGGAACACCTGCCTTACCCACAACGCAGTCACCTCCCGAGAGATTTCCAGGTGTAGGCGAGGTTGGCTATGCTCGTCAGAGTAAACGGATGCTTAGGCCCCAGGACCTTTTCGCTAGCCTTCATCACCTCCAACTCTACCCTTTCAGCTTCCTGCCATCGTTTTTTGGTCCTAGAAGTTGAATCAAAGGTGCCAATGCGCGTCAGATTACCTATCATCTTGTAGCGTAGATCTGATATCTCTGTCTCATTGTACCTCCTGTCGCTATATATCTCCTTTATAGCTAGGGTGGTCGGCTAACACAGCACACAAACATACCCACGGTCATGAATTATCTTATTCTTGTCGTCAAAGATAGAAAACCCTACCACAGGTCTATTAGTCTCTACGTAGTTCGATTCTACAACAAAGAGATCGTAGCCGGTAACTATAAACGGAGCAGTCGGTCGTACCCTCCTCCAACCGGCCCGCCATAGCCTGACTTTTGATATAGAGCTACATTTGGTCTGCTGATACTGGGATGCTTATGGCAGTGACGTATCCGCCGTGCTATCTAGGTCGCTGGTAGATTTATACATCCAGAGCCCAATAGCAGGACAGCGACAGACCTCTATCATATAAAAGCCTTATTACATGTTATTATAACCTTTATGTCTTGTGTAGCCGTAGGGATGGCGCACGCGATTCATACTCTTAAACATTAAGTACCTACCGCGCCATACAAAATATCAACAGAGATGCCTTTTTCACTCTTAAGAGTAAGAAGGAGACGCTAGATCATTCTTATTTTCTAGCGGGTGCGAGATTTCCACAAGCGATTCACTTTTGCCGATAGCCGCGTCGGCGCTATCTCTGTCACTACACACTCTCTCCCAGAGTTATATTCAGCGATATCAACCTTTGCATTGATTTCCGAAGGTCTACTATACAGGTTAAGTATTACAGAAACTATTTCAGCAGTTTAAGGAAATCGAGAATGTGACTTTGGGAGATCTATTAGCGGCCTAATGACCCCCTACCCCCAACCTCTTTAGTCTAGAACTTCTTGTCGCTATGATCTGTTGGTATTACAACAAAACTGGGTTTAGTCTGCCCATAATGTTTAAGGCACCAACACGTAGCGCGGAAAGATCACGCTTTTGTATCTCAAGACCACGCACAATCATGGTCTTTCCGCCGTCACCGACAATTACTCCGTATACTACTGGTTGCTCTTCGTACATACGAAGCATATTGTGCAACTTCAAGAGAATATGAAGCGAGTTCAAGACTTCTAATCAGATAATTGTCGTGCTAATTACTTGTCCATCGGGTGTGATACTTTCACATACAATGTGCCATGCTATCCCCGAAGAACAATATCCTCTTAACGTCTTTACTATTTGCCAATGAGACATCTTTTTTTGCGCCCGCCATTATATATCTTACTACTTAGTAGTAAGAAACTCAGAACGCAAAAGCAACATTGGGAACTTATATTTACACTTACAGGCATACACACTTGTTAATCTCCTTTATCCCTATTTAGGACAGAACCAGTCGAAATCTCGATGGACTATCTCGGACGAATACTGGCGAACCCGGCACTCAGACTTTAACGTTCTCCCCATCGATATGTCGGACTAAATGGGTCCATTTAAGACCTTGATAATACTATTGAATGATTTACAATAGTTATTTCCCATAAGTTTTGGGTGGATCTTGACCTCTTAGACAAAATAGGGAAATTTCGTCCGAAATTCCGAGACCCGAACCCGAATAGCTCGGCCTAGGAGCTTCATGTCATTGTTTCATGCGCGATTCACAATTATCGTCTGTAAAAGGCAGGGGGTACAGTTCCATACTATACAGCCTCCAGTATCTATTCAAATACATGCTAATGACTAGAGGAGTACAGATTTCCCTAAGCCGAGGCAGCATACCCTGTGTTTCTAGAACAATAAAGTAAATACAGACGTACCGCCTAGCATAGAAGATACTAATACTACGAACATAGCACTCTACACTAAAATCTCTCCATTCCGCTACAGTGCTTACGATCATCCTCGAACGAACTCAGCTATCAGACACGGGCTGCGTAGCCCCAAATCCAACACAGTTTGCCGGGGTTGGATTCCATGAAGCGCTAGTCATGACTGTGAGGCTCGTTGCCCCTTTTCTGTTCCTTCTTTCTCACACAGACATGGTGTCCGAGTTACTTTCGGTCAACCCGCTCGTTAAAACCAACATCTGAGATATCCAAATCTACCCCTGAGAGTGGCTTAGCTCGGCTCCCTGCCAGGGATGCACCTTTGTAAGCAAGCGAACGTAGAACATCAAACTAGTCTAGCTCACACGGTTTAATGTTTGGAGAAGACTGGTCCGACGTTTCAGATGTATCTATACTTAGATAGACTCGACTTCGGTCAATAGACATCTGGAAACAAATCTTCACTTCTAGTTTTTGTGGTAGGAAGTTATAATCGCTGTGTAAGACTAGACATCATACTATGTAGTTACAGTAAACTAGCCCCCTCCGACTCCGCGGAGATCAGCCCAACACTACTTACTGTGCACACTGCACAGAATGTCAGAGTTAGTATCCACCAAGGAATGAAAGCACGGTGTACACAAAAGAAACGGATAACAGCACTCCGTCACAAACCGCACGGGCAAGACGAAGTAGTCTAAGCACCACTACACGTCTTTCGTGTATGTGCTTCTGAGCATAAGCGGGCCTGCTGGGGACGGCTAATACGTAAGTTGATGTAGACTCTATCTAAAGAGACGTCATCAATGTCTTGTCCGGTGTATTGGTATGGGGACCACTGGCAGTCGACTGCGAAGAATAGGTAAGTTACTGATTGTATTGACATAAATGTAGGGCAGAAAATATAGGGATATAGACTGGCAATTAATCACTGGGTTCTGAGGTAGTAGCTAAATGCCGTGTATACTCTAACTAACTTAGTAACTGCCGTACTACAGTAGTGAAATTGAGAGATACTTAGCCGATGAGGTCTGGGCTAGTGGGTTTCTGGGGCTACCGGGGGGTTGCGCTGAAAAAAACTGTGAGGGACACGATTGTTTGGTACGAAAAAACCATAGTCGTGGAGCGATAGTGTCATAGTATACTTCATGAAGTTAGTTGGTCGAGAATTTCAGTAGTGATGGAGGAGTACTAACTACTACCAGATCTTGGCTGACTCTAATATATATCTGTTAGTAGTTGGCTAGGACCATGGTGGGATTTCGAGAAGCCCGAGGAACTGAGACCGTTATGTTCCAGTTCATCAGGTTGAAATGTCATGTTAACTCGAGGATTATATATATCAACCATCATGAGTCCCGTTGTAGTACCCTAAAAAGATATGCGATCACGATACTAGCAATATTAACGATGGAAATGTACGGAATAGATAGATACAAGTATAATTAGGTAGTTATGAAAAGTCACTTGTACCTCATGGTTTAGCATTCGTCTACTTGGCGAACTGTTCCTCCAAAATACATATCTATCCGACACAGTAGTCACACCATAACTTAGATATGACACTGTTCAACAAGCATAAATACGACAATTACCTAATTATGAACCACCATTCACAACAACACTAAAACCTCAAGAAACACCGTCTAAACTCGAGAAAAACCAAATCATGAAACACTCACTAGACACCACGGTTAACAACGCATGGCCCAGGCCCTAGCAAAGAACCAGAAAACCAGGAAGAGTGGCGTAGCCGAGAGACACGCAATCCGTGGTTCTGCACTCGTAAGTAACTTAGGGCCAGGAGCACCAAAAATAGGACGAGCCTTTCCGCCAGACCCAAGGTTGAGGCGGCGTCAGCGGGTTAGGACCCTGTGGATGGATGGATGGATGATCCGATACTACGATGTTGCTTTGCTTCCCTTTGATCGCTCTAAAGGAAGAACGGAAAGAGCATGGAGAATTGCATTGTTGTGGATTATTTTTTTTTTCTCCGCCCACTGGGTATGATGGAAGGAGGGAGGGAAATGCACGGGGTTGGGGAGGAGAGGAGAAGAGCAGTTGATCAATGGGGTCCGGACGTCATGATGCGCAAGTCACGGACGGGCAAAAGTCTGATGATCTGCCTTTTTCGCTTGGGGGTGGTTGATCAGGGATGCGGGATGCGGTGGCATCTTAGCAATTTTAACTACGATGTCCGTGTGTCTGGGAAGTGGGAAGGTCGTCCGAGACATGTGGTAGCAGGTATATATCCTGTGTAATAAGGGAAGGATGAGACCTGGAAAAGCATGAAATATTTTGTTTCTTCCTGCAAGAAAAGAGGATTGGTTTGTAGTTGATTAAATCGGAAAAGAGGTGGTAGGTACTAGACTAGATTGAATTGGTTTCTGGAAGATTGGGCAAGGAGGCGGCTGTGCAGACAGACCAGATTTCCCCCCTCGCCAAACTATCTAATAGTAGATTAAAAAGAAGCAGCCCATAGTTAAGCCCTCGACGGCAGGCTTGCTGTTAGTGGCATTCCGGGAACGCCCTCTGGGGCGCCCTACCGCACGCACTAACACTTATGTCAATCAAACAAGAGACATACGAGTACGATCCGCTGTCCTATTCCGTTGATCTTCCAGATCAACAGTTATTAACACGGTTCCAAGGTAAAACCACGCATGAGCAATGACCCAACTCTCTGCCGTTTCTGTATCCCATTGAGGCAGGTTATCTACAATGTGACATGCGACAGGATCGAAATTTCCACGCGCCTGACGGAGTACTACAGGGGAATTACTCAGCAAGCTCAGGTTACCGTGTTACACACGGGGTTCAGGCACAGGGTCCAGGTCCACGGTTGAAACACAAATAGATCGGTCGGAAGATAACCTATGCTGCGAGATTTGACAGTTCCAGTTGATCGATAAACGACCTGACATCTCATATGTACGGGGTTTGGGGAGACTGATGCTGTCTTTCTAGATGATGGCAGTTGAAGAGATTTCTTCTTGCTTCTTCTTCTTCTTCTTCTTCTTCTTCCTACGTTGCATTGTCCTCTTATGCTTGCGCTGGATGGAGTACGCACCTCGACGTTTCAGTTGCAGTAGTGCGTATCATTGGGTCGTCGCAACAACTCGTGGGAAAGCCAAGTTATTAATAGCATCGATGTAAAGTATTCCGATCCAGGCGGTGAGCGGGGGAACAAGGAAAAAAAAAAGAAATGAAGCAGGAGGGGCAAA